CTTGTGTTATGGTTCTTAGAGAAACCTCTGCCATACCCCAACATGCAAAGTACTTTATGGACTCAGGCACACCATTCAGTAATAAGTTTACTGATGTCATTGCAAAGCTACAGGAAGAATTTGATCACATGTTTGCAGAATTCGAAACGCTCAGAGCCACTTTTCAAATTTTTGCTGACCCTTTCTACTTCAATGTGAAAGATGCGCCCCCCCCCCCCAAAAAAAAAATAAAAAAAAATTGCGCTTCTTAAGGGATTGTTCGCAATTTAAGGCACGCAAAAAATTACATTTACAGACCCCCCTCCCTTTGTCACACAGTGTCACAAATGCCCCCCCCCCCCTTTTAAAGTCACGTCACACCTAAAAAAATTCAAAACATACATACAATTTTTATAACTAAACTAAGCTTTTATTTTATTCTTTAACATTTTCCAATAATGCATTAAGATGTAGTATTATTAGAAAACTGTGACGTAAAACGCAAAGCAACAAAGTCCTCCCCAAGCTGAATGTAAAAAGGCCATAACAGTTTTGGCGTCATTTTTATATATGCGCAGAAGGTGTGCGTGACTGAGTTTCATGGCACTTTTAATACCTTAGGCAATTTCGACCTCAAATTTATGTTTTTAAAATTAATTGAATAGACATTTTTCCAAATTAAACAAAAAATAGATTTAAAATAATAATAATAAATTTGTGAAGTCACAATTATTTGACCCCTCCACATACCAGGCTTTGTGGGAGGGGAGTACCTAATTGTGTGAAAGCTCTTTTCCACTATGAACTTTAGCAAGTCAAAGTTCAGGGCCAAACTTACTGATTAACATCTTCAAGCTATACTAAGGTTCTCAGTTGCTTCCTCAGTCAAGCCAAATGTTGATCAGCTGTGTAAGAAGAAGCGCTGCCAGGTCTCTGGCAACAGGGAGTAGCGGGAAGAAAGTGAAGCCTAGTTCTTGAGAACCCTTAATGTTTTTATTTGTTATCAATTAATGTTGAGCAGATTGTAATAGTTGTACTTTTTTTGAATTTGTATTCGCTTTTTTTGTATGGAATACTTAATGCGGCCCAGTCTCATTCAGACTCTACCTCCTGCGGCCCTCGGATGATTTGAGTTTGAGACCCCTGATTTAAGTATGTTTTTAGAATGTTTGTTGTTTTTGTTGTATTTCAGGGGCACAAAAAGGGGTAGAGTCACTAGAGTAGACCTTTATTATATATAGCAGATAAATGTTTCTCAAAACTACGCGGCGTAGCTTGGGTTGGTGTCACCCGGTGCGGTAAATTCATGCTGTCAACCCCCCCCCCCCCCCCCCCCCCCCCCTACACATTTTTCTTTTTTTAAAAAAAAAAAAAAAAAAAAAAAAAAAAAAAAAAAAAAAAAAAAAAAAACAAAAAATAATTGAAGTTCATGATGTAGGCCTACGTGTTTTTAAGAACTGTGACAACGCTACGTTATCATTATTTTGACATTAAATTTACTTTATTAAAAATGTGCAATGTTCCTGGTTTTCAAAGCTGCAAACATGTCAACCACTTGAGAAAAATCAATATCATTCGATCTAAAAGCATTGACTGTCTCATGGTGTATCGTAAATAATTATTGATAAGCCTTAATTTTGAATATCTCCAGCAATCTTCCCTCTAAGGTTTTCTCCTTCGTGTGTAAAATCATGAAGTTGTGTGCAAAGTTTTCATCAATTTTTTCTGTGCAAAATTTAACAGTCCACAAATACACACACACACACACACACACACACACACACACACACACACACACACACACACACACACACACACACACACACACACACACACACACACACACACACACACACACACACACACACACACGGACATATGCTGCGCAAATACTTAAAACTGCTGCGCGGCGTCTGTGAGAAGGGAACATTTTTTTTCTGTGCAAAATTTAACAGTCCACAAATACACACACACACACACACACACACACACACACACACACACACACACACACACACACACACACACACACACACACACACACACCCCCACACACACACACACACACACACACACACACACACACACACACACACACACGGACATATGCTGCGCAAATACTTAAAACTGCTGCGCGGCGTCTGTGAGAAGGGAACATTGAGCTCCAGTAACATGCAGCCACAGACACACAGGTCGTAAGAAACAATTGAAGGTTTAGCGAGAGTACTGGAAGAGATTCTAGGAAGTCTCATCCAGCTATGAATTTAAAAACATCAAAAGCCTTAATATTTCTTTTAGAAGCTTATCTTCTGATAATTAAACGTAGAAAGAGGTTAATTTTGGAACGGACATCAATAACTCTTCTTCACTAACTGATAGTAGACTCTTGGGTTGAAGAGCCCAAAATATATTTGCTACTTTCTTTATCGCTGATGATCTGATCTGGGCTTCAGAATGAAAGCTATCAATACACTCCAGCATCTCCATACTGTTTTCTTCAGACAGAGAGAGTCCAGCATCTATTAACTGTTCTCTGCCATTCTCACCTTAAACCTTAATCTTCTTTCTACAGAAACTCCAAATTTGTCTTATTTTAAAATGGCCTTTTCAATAGCATTTTCCACCAAGTTACAGCGCCTCTCGTGGACAAAATCTTGAGGCCTCTACGTTGGTCACCACTTTATCAAGAGTAAAGTCTTTGGTCTGCAGATACTGCTGTATAAGATTAACTTCATTAAGTAGATGAACCCAAATGGAAATGTAGCAGATACAAATTTACATGTGATCGGTTATCCTTTTATGAAATTCGGTTAGACCGAGCAGTTTTTTTCTCTGTACATATGCAATTTTGCAATTAGGTATCACCCCTGAGATGGTGTCATCCGGTGCGGTCCGCAGCCCCGTAGCTACGCCACTGCTTAAAACTAAATAATTTTAGAAACAGAAAAATCCATACACAGATAATTCTTTTTATAATAAGGAAAGTCTGATTAAATATTTCCTAAATATACATTTCAAGGGCGTGGAATATTGTGATTTCACACACGCTCTTTATCCCGCTACCACTTTCCCATGTCACAAACTGTCACGCTTTCTCCCCCCCCCCCAACCTTTTCCAGACCTTGACGTACTTTATGGATGGCCCCCATGCAGAAATATTAATTATATAATCTATAAAGTATTCATTTTAAATCTCTTAACACTTAACACATGTCTGATACTGCTAGAGCATTTTAAGATACATATACATATCCTTCCCTCCTTGTCAACAACTGTCAAGCTTTCAATGAACCCCCCCCCCTCTTCCAGTAATTATGTCAACATTTTATACCCCCTCCCCCCAAAAAATAAATAAATAAATAAAATGAATTATAATATAAATAAATATATTTAAATACATTTTAATTTGTGCTGATCTATTTAAATGACAAATAAAATTGTAGGAAAAATAGTTTATTACATCTTTGGCTTGTTAATCAACAAGTTAAAAAGTTTTTACACTTAAATTTTATAATGCAGAATTAATTCAAAGGTTGTTAAATACTAAATATCATTGTTTGACAATTGTAGTATAGTTTCTAGTTGATATCCTCTTCCCATCAATCCCATGGAGTAGCCAGGTGTTTCTCTATCGTAGCAATGGGCATAGTAGATGATTCATCATTTTCATCTTGGGGAACTGATATACCAGACAGGCAAATATCATCCTCATCTAGCCACTCAACACTTACAATAGAGGCATAGTCAGTGTGAGCAATAATTGCCATGATTAAAGCTCTCTCTGTCTCCTGGCTGCTACTCGCAATGGTCGAATCCTTTTTTGTTGAGGAGCAGGTGGTATTTTCCTACGTTCAAGAGTGCATTGGTGCTGCCTTTGAACATGCTTCTTCAACAAGACTTGCGATGCAAAATAGATGTTACAGATTTTGCAAATCTGTTCAAGCAGCGATGTTATTATTTTTGCTCACTTTAATTTTCCCTAATTCTCAAAATATTGTATTCCTACTCTTTCAATAACATTTATCTTGACTGCACATGACACTTGAACCCTGTCCTTGTTCCATACCTTCGACATGATCGCAAACATACCGCCCTTGTCATTTGCGATAAACAGAATGTAGGCCAACACAGGTGAAGAGAGGCCAACTTTTGACTTCTCTTGCACTACCAAAGTGGAATAACATTCTGACCAGCTATCTGCAGTGCACAGACAATAAATCAATCTTATATTATTAAAAGCCTAAATACTATATGACTATTGTCACTTATTAGATTTTTTAAAATACATGTAGTGTAATAACTCGTCAATTTTTAATAGAGAAAAAAATTATTGTTGACGTCAATTAATCTACCCCCTTCCCTTTGTCAACAATTGTCAAACATTTCCACCCACCCCCCCACCCCTTTTTTTTTTCCTCCATTTTGTTGACATAATTTATGGATGGCCCCTTACATGTACAAAATGTACTTGAACAATTACAATACAAGATACAAAAGTATCATTGGGTCGACTTTTCAATATTAATTTATTTTAACATAGGGCCATAGGGTCATATTTCAAAATATTTGTTTTAACAATTAAAAAGAAACATTGTGTGTTTTTTACTTGACAATACTAATAATAATAATAGGCCTACTCATCGGTGACGTGTTCGTGGATACGTAAATCTTTAAATTATTTTAAGCAACTAATCATTCATGTATAATGTATAAAAATAGCCCGTTGTACTAATTAATAACGTTTTAAAAATACGTCTCTCTAATATTATCGATACTGAAATGCTAATTTGATATTGATACACAGAAGACGATATTGATATAGCCTACAGTATTGATATTGCAACTAACTAAATGATAAACAGACATAATTCTTAACTGAATAAAATATAAGTGTGTATTATTTACTTTAACACTAATACTTAAACAACAAAAATATTTACCAGATAATGTTATTCCCAAAAACAAATACAAGATTCGTTGCAGCGAGTACGATTATATAGTCACCGTCACAGCTTTATTGTACGGTATTACTATAACTATATTAGCAGTGGTGAGACCGGCTACGAAGCTCTATTTTAATTCATTTATTTTACAGAGATCATATTGTGACAAGTGCTGGTGTTTTATAGCAGATACTACGCTGCATATTTTTCTTTATAAAAAAGGTATGAAAATATGTATAGATTATGTTCATATATTCCAAATATCGGTATAAATATCATTATGTCTTAAAATTTACCGGTTCCTTTGCTACCATTGGACTATTGGTTTACACTGATTGGGTGGCCTAAAACGCGTGATGGTATGACTATTAAAGATAGCATTTGTAAAAGTAAATGACGATGCTTCAAAAATAGTTGATAATCTCATTTTAATTAAGGATTTTAATATCTTTATTAGATTTGGTCAAAGGCTAGTTTGTCAAATAAAATTTGGAATGAAGAACACAAATAAATCAAATGAATAACAGGCCCTAATACTATTATTTAAAAAAAGAAAATATAGTAGGGACCTCTGGACTTACTACTTTTATTAAGTTTTAGTTTTAGTTAGGCAGGCAGGCCTACTTAAGTTATCATGTTTCCAGGTTTCCCCGGACCTCTCCTTTTTTAGGCCCCTGTCCGGGTGGCTTTCCAGAAATATGGCTTTTACTTTAGTCTGTGAGTCTGTGTTTTTCTTTTTCCCCCGTGTCCATCGCTCCTCGATACCTTCTTACTTACTTTTCCGTGTTATATACTATTCTGTTATGTGCACTAAACATGTGAGACAGAAATACTTAGTTCAATGGTAAAGGTTACTACGGCAACCTCCGAAAATTTGGGTTCGGGAAGCCATTTTTGAAAACATAATGGTAACAAGAGTTCATGGTAATTGATATTTATTTTTCATGTTAAAGTTAAAAATAAAAATTTTGTTTATTTACACATGCACTGAAAACCCAATATTCAGGTTTTCATTCAGTCGCTATGACTGGGAAGCTGAATGTTTGACATGCGGCAGCGGAAGTCATATCTCTGTTGCACATCAAAACGGCGAAGAATGTTAAAAGTATTTCCTGAAAATTTAATCTACCAAAGTTACCAAATTTTTCATAATACCAGGTTTGAAAAGCGATGAATCTATTTAGGCAGTTGAAGGTGTTTCACATTGTCAAGCCCAAGCACCATCGCAGCTATAAATCAATGGACTGCAGTTTTGTCACTTATTAAAAACAATTTTACCTGGTCCTGATATTGCAGGCAAAAATCAGTAAGAGTAATGTAATGTGTACTGAACACTCACTTAATACAAGTTTATAATTGTAACTATTTACAATAAGAACAATATTTTATGTAGTTTAATATTACTTTTATTTGTACAACAATTAACACATTGGCGTAGCCTAAGGAGCCGTCTACGGGTTGGTAACCGGATTTGATGAAAATTTTGTCCTCTTTTTTGTATCTGACGACTTATGATAACCCTAGGCCTACTCAAACTCAATGTTCAATACTCAATTCATGTCAACTGCTCTCTAAAGACAGTTACTAGTGAACTGATCACTTATACTAATAGTAATAATTAAAATCCCAACAGAATGGGAAACAGCATTAATAACCCCAATACACAAGAAAGGCTCCAAACTTCAGTGCACAAACTACAGAGAAATCTCCCTATTAAATGTCACATACAAAATACTGACGAAGCTTATTGCCAAAAGACTACAACCTTACACTGAAGAAATACTAGGTGATTACCAATGTGGATTCAGGCCTAACAGATCAACGGCTGATCAGATTTCACCATCAGATGCCTATTAGAGAAATGCTATGAATATAATATACCAGTACATCAAATCTATGTAGACTATAAAATGGCCTATGACAGCATCAAAAGAAACTATTTATATGAGACTCTTCAGGAATTTGGGATACCCAACAAACTGACAAGGCTAATACATGTAAACACTAAACAACTCAAAAAGCAAAATCAAGATTCAAGGAGAATATTCAAGGGAATTTCAAATTAGTCGAGGCCTAAGACAGGGAGGCTCACTGTCTTGTATGCTCTTTAACCTAACATTAGAGAGAGTTGTTAGAAACATACACATTGACACTCCAGGAACGATAACAGGATGCTTTCTGAGGGAAACTCAAGACCCACAACCAACTGGCACACTCTACAACCAACCACTTCAGTATCTTGCATATGCTGATGACATAGCACTTCTAGGGAAAAGTATTAAAGACATATCAAAATTCTTTATTGAATTAGAAGACGCATCTCTACAAGCAGGGCTGGAAGTTAACAACCAAAAAAACAAAATACATGACCATGATAAGAGAGGAACAAACAGATGAAACAATTAAAATTGGAAACCAAACTTTTGAAAAAGTAAATCAATTCAAATACCTAGGATCCTTGTTAAATGAAAGAAACGAATTGCTAACAGAAATAAAAGAAAGAATATCAGCGGAAACAGGGCATACTTCAGTAGTCAGAAAATACTCAAAAGTAAAAACATTACAAGAGAAACAAAGAAAATTATTTATAAAACTGTGATCAGACCAGTGTAACATATGCAAGTGAAACTTGGACCCTAACAAAAACAGCAGAAAACCTATTAAACACATGGGAGAGGAAAGTTCTCAGGAAAATATATGGGCCAACAAAGGATGAATATGGATGGAGAATACGAACCAACCAGGAGTTATACAGTCTATATCAGGATCCCACGATAGTGGCAGAAATAAAAAGAGGCAGGCTACGCTGGGCAGGACACCTAGAGAGAGTGCCAAATGACAGAGGAACGAAGAGGGTACATCACCAATACCCCAGAGGAAAAAGGCTCAAAGGTAGACCAAGGCTTAGGTGGATAGATGATGCAGAAAAAGATCTACATCAGCTGAAAGTCCAAGCATGGAAAAGAAAGGCATTAGTTAGGTCTGAGTGGAAGGAAGTAGTGAGGCAGACCAAAGCCCTACAAGGGCTGTAGCGCCACAGGGATGATGAATAATTATAATCACTAACAGTTAGACAAATAGTAGTGATAGTTTATAGATTTAATGATTATAGGTACAGAGTGAAGAGTCACTGATAAACCTACTTATCTTAGGCCTTATTGACAAATTATTGTTATTAATTTCATGACAATCCCATTTGAGGCATCTATTTTTGATGTGCTTTCTTTTCTTTATTTAAAAATTTTATTTAGGGTAGCGGGTCAATTTGCTTATATAAAAAGGGGTTGGGGACCGTGCCTGCCTTAGAAGATTTTGTGCTATAGACAAGAACAAAAATACTGCTCCATATTATTCATAATTGTTGATCAGTCAGATCAGTCATCTATTTTGAAATCTTTCAGTTTTCAAAGAAATTATAATTTGTAAGTATAAATCTGAATTATGAAAATGTGTAATTAATATTTTTAATTTGAATTATTTCTTTACTTAAACTCAAATTCTTAAGTTGTTAATAGTAATACTGTTAAGACTAAAAGGTTGTTTTTTTATAAAGAACAGTTGATTTTAAGATTAACAGGAATTTTTTGCTTTTGCAAATTAATTAAAAATAAGCAGGCCACTAAAACGCAAAATCCTGTGATATCATAATTGTCTAGTTTTTTATGTCATTAAAAAAATCCAAAATAATTCACTGTGAAATGATAACTCTAACAAGTGATCATTAACTGAATGAATTGTGATATCCAAAACTTGGTTTAAAAATATACACTTTTCAATTATTTTCTGGGTAAAAAATGTTGATCATTTGAAACTCCATAGTCAAATTGTCTTTTTTTTTTTTCATCAATTCATTAGTTTTATTTTCTGGGGGAAATTTCAAGTTCTTCTGCCAATGATTTAGCTTAGCTATTGTTATTGCTTTAGTAATACCTTCACATGAGTCAATCCCAAGCTTGTAGACTGGAGTTCAGTACCCAGCAAAAGCCTAGACAATCACCAGCACTCCCATTGGATGGAAATTGTAAATCTTGGATGGCAACTCATCTAGAAGAAGGAAATTTCTGAATTCCAACCGGAGTTGGAGTTCCGTAGGCGGCATGAGATGGTATGACATACATTGACACATTGAAAATACTGGCAACTCACTGCTTCCAAGCTGTATAGTCCACACATGATGTTACCTTGGGTTATCTAGATGCATTGAGAGAGATTTGATATCTTGGAAACCAGTCAATCCTCCTAAAGAAAATAATCCCAGGCTTTGTGATTTCTTCTTGCAAAGTCTACACCATTGTTACATTGTGACAGACAAATGGAAGAGAAACAAAAAAAAAAAAAAACCTTCACCAATTTTTTTTTTTTAAAAAATAATTTTTATTAAAAAAAAATAAAATAAAGATTTTTTTTTTTTTTTTTTTTTTTTTTTTTTAAAATAATCCCAGGCTTTGTGATTTTTTCTTGCAAAGTCTACACCATTGTTACATTGTGAAAGAAAAATGGAAGAGAAAAAAAAAAAAAAAAAAAACCTTCACCAATCCTGTAATTATAAAGCATAGTTTTTGTTGAATTCAGTTAATCTAGAGATTTTCTTTTTTAAATCAAGATCTTTTCTTGAAACAGTTTGCTAGATAAATTGATATAAAATTGTATTTTTTTTATACCAAATCACTAATGAACAAACAAACTTCAAATCAGGGATTTTTTTGTTGTGCTTCTTCTGTTTCTGCACGTGATTGCATGAGTTCCATGTAGTCCAGTTTGTGAAACATCATTATGCAATGGAAATAAGTGCATTTTGTAAATTCAAATGTTTATCATATTACTATAACATGCTGGCTTAGTAATGGAGGGTGAGGGGGTTTGGGGACAGTCTGCATTGGGTTGCAGTTATTTTCTATAAGGCACATTCTGGGGCATCATTTTCTGCCAACTGCAGAGTATTTTCGTGGTAGGGGTCAGCAAAAAGCTGCTTTATCCTTGCTCACGATGTGATTGAATTGTAAAACACTTATTCTTCTAACTAAACTGATAAAATTTTGAGGTGAGTGGGGGAGTCATACCGATATAAACATTTTTACAATTTTTATATTTAAAAAATTTTTTTTTTTAATATTCTGGAATTTGCCACACCTTGAAATATGCTGTTGTAGGCAGCCGCCTATATAGCCTATACCTAAAGCCATTGTTGCTTGCTGATCTGTTTGCTTCTTTAAAATGTGTCATGAATTTTTTACCTAACCTAGTTTCACTTGTCATAGGCCTAATTACAAACTTTTGTATTTTTTACTATGCAATTAATATTTTTATTTAAAATAGAGAAAATGTTACCTACACTATAAATTTATGAATTTAAAGTGTCTCAGTCAACAATTTTGAGTGTAGAAAAGAAACTTTGTTAAGCCTACAATGCTGCATTAAAACTCTGTAAATAACATCTTTGTGTATACAACTCAATATCAAGTCCATGTAACACAGGCTTATATTGTACATAATTAAATTTAAAAAGACCCAGAGATGAATTCAAAAAATCTTGTTCATTCTTTATTTTTGTTTTCTTCTTCTTTTCAGTTTCAACCATGGCAGGAAATATGCAAGAAATCAAAGTTGTGAGCCCTAATGTAAAATACACCAGCACTCATATTGAGTCAACCTATGAATACAGCACAACTAAAGTAAAAAAGCAAGGGAACTCATTGATTGCAGAACCCCAATTAACAAAGTATGTCTTTAAAACAGAGAGGAAAGTTCCAAGATTGGGTGTAATGTTAGTTGGATGGGGAGGGAATAATGGAACTACAGTAACTGCTGCAGTTTTAGCAAATAAACTTGGTCTTTCTTGGAACACCAAGGAAGGGATCAGACATGCAGATTATTTAGGATCTCTAACACAGGCAAGCACTGTTTCCCTTGGACTAGGTGATGATGGAGAAACCTATGTACCTTTCAAGTCACTGTTGCCAATGGTTGATGCCAATGACATTATATTTGATGGTAAGATCTAGTTTGTGCTACTTATTTTTTGTGTGGAAAGACTATGACAGTAGTGAAGCAGATTACTCTTAGACATATTGATTTTAAAATTTAAATATACTGGTAATCATATCATACAAATACATTTTTTTTAACCTGTCTGGTTATATCAGGTGCAAAGCTTCATTTTAAATGGATATTAAATAAGATTTACATTTATATTGATGATTATCATTTTTCTGTGTCAAAGGATGGGACATATCTTCAATGAATTTGGGTGATGCTATGAAGCGAGCAATGGTTTTGGACTACAACTTGCAAGAACAGATTTACCCATTCATGTCAAAAATGAAACCTCGACCATCAGTGTATATTCCAGATTTTATTGCGGCAAATCAGAAAGATCGTGCAGATAATTTATTAACAGGTAGTAAAGAGGAAGTAGTGGAGCAAATAAGGAGAGATATACGATCCTTTAAGGCAGAGAAAAACCTTGACAAGGTATGCTATTTTTGAAAAATATATAAATATCACTTTATAAATAAACATGGAATGTTCATACTAATTCAGACCCTAAAATTTCATCACAAGAAGGTCTGACTCTAAATGCATCTATTATTTATTTTCACCCATACAAGTAAATACTATGAACAGTTTGATTGCATAAAACTCCTTTGGGGTCGTCCATTAATTATGTCAACAATTTAAAAGAAATTTTTTGACCCCACTCCCCACCCCTGTCAACAACTGTCAAACTTTCAATGACCCCCCTATTTCATTATGTCAACATTTTTAAATTTTATAATGCAGAATCAATTGAAAGGTTGTTAAAGATTAAATATCATTGTTTGTGAAAGTATAAATTTGATTATTGTTGGTAAAGCTGACAATTATAGTATAGTTTCTAGCTGCTATCATCTTCCCAAGGAGGAGCCAGGTTTGTTCTATCGTAACAATGGGCATCAAGGACATAATTTGGGTAGGGCAGGTGGTGCTATGCCACCACCCCCTAATTTGCAGTTTTATTTAAATTGCTATTTACTGTGGTGCCTGCAGTAATAAACAACTTAACAAGTCGACCAAGTTTTGGTTTTTGCCCCCCCCCTCTTGAAAAAACCCCACCATATGACGCCCCTGATGGGCATAGTTTATAGTAGCTGATTGATCATTTTCATCTTGCGGCACTGATATACCAGACAAGTCAACATCATCCTCATCTAACCATTCAGCACTTAAAATAGAAGCATTGTCGGTGTGAGCAATAATTGCCATAAGCTCTATAATTCTATCTCCTTGCAGCTACTCGCAATGGTCGAATCCTTCCTTTTTTGTTGAGGAGCATGTGCTCATTTCTTATGCTCAAGAGGGCATTGTCGGTTCTGTTGAACATGCTTTTTCAACATGACTTGTGATGCAAAATAGATGTTACAGATTTTGCAAATCCATTCAAGCACCGATGTTATTATTGTTACATTCACGTTGCATTCACCTAATTCTCAAAATATCGTACCCCTACTCTATCAATATCATTCATCTTGACTGCACAGGCACTAGAACTTTGTCCTTGTTCCTTACCTGCAACAGAATCTACAGGTGAATAGAGGCCAACTTTTGACTTGTCTTGCGCTAACAAAGTGTGCTAACATTCTGACCAGCCATCTGCAGTGCACAGACACACATCAAATAAATCTTATATTGTAATAAAAGCCTAAAAATTATATGACTATTTAAACTCATTTACACTTATTCATTTTTTAAAATAATGTAATAACCAGTCAATTTTTAAGATAAAAATTTTAATAGAACAAACATTTTTGTTGAAGTCAACTAATCTAACTCCCCATCCTTCCCCCTTGTCAACAACTGTCAAACATATCCAAACCTCCTCCCCCCCCCCCCTATTTTTTCACATAATTAAATGGCCCCCCCTTTGGGACACTATAACTTAATTTAACACATTTTATTTACATCTAGTTAATAACCCTGATTTTCATGTGGCTCTTGAATCTCTTAAGTATATTTTGCTTCTTTTGTATATTTCATTGCATATTATAGAAAATGAGAAGTTAACTCTTGTTTTTGTAACACTTGGACCCACTGGGTATTTTCTCAAAATACTCAGACCTGGTGTAAAAAACACTGTACCTGGTTTAGCCCTAGTACAGGGGTGGCCAACCTGTTCAGCAGTCAGGCAAAATTTCATAAAAATATTTCCTGCCGGGCCACACACCTAATTTAAAAAAAAAACAAAACAAGCAAGCTTTCTACAGCGTCGACCACATTGTCGTTTCCCATTAGGTGAGATTGTGGTCAAACGCTTGCCTGGTTTAATGGAGAAAAAAAACAAGAAGAAACTGGTATTTTTTAAATATTTTTTTTTAAAGAAAATAAAACATATTTATTAGCAAATATTTAAAAGTGAGACATCTCACTTTGTTTTGCAGAACTAAGTGCATCAAAATTGATCTCAACTGGTGTTGTCACTACACGCAAACAGTTTTCCAAATGAACATCAGTAATTCCTGTTTTCACTTGCAATTTGATGTGCTTCATACAACTACAACTAAAAAGCTCTTCAAATGCATAAGTGTTTCCAAATAGCGAAACCATCGACAGAGCAGGATATAACCCAGGATCCTTGTTCAAGAACTCTTCCAAACCAGCAGTTTGATAGAATGTCTCCTTTAACTGTGTATCACAATACATTTCACATGTTCCATTTGTAATCTTTCTGGCAATAAATTCATGTATACCACAAATGGCGCTGCAAATGCACAAAAAAAGCACTGTTTAAAAAAAAATCCTGAAATTGGTTTTCAAATTCGAGGTTTAAGTTTAAGTCAGAAATCAAAGAAACATATTTATCCGCCGCCTCTTGTCTGACGTCTGATTGCAATGACAATGTAGGAAAATGAGTAAAAGTTTTTTTGGTCCTTAACTGTTGTTACCAAAAGACAAAGCTTCATTTGAAGTCCAGAAATATGATCATGCATCTTATTAATTATTTGACCTTTACCTAGTAGGCGCATATTAACATCTTTTAGATGGCTAGTTATATCGACCAGAAATGCACACTGGGATACTTATTGACTTGCTTGCAAAGAATGATTGTATTTCTTGCTTTAAATCACTCTTTTCAATATTTTGGCACGGATCATGCATCTTACGTCTGCATAAAATGAAACGACATTAGAATCTTGAGTCCAAATACTTTAGAAATTCTTGGAACTGACGGTGATTCAACCCTTTTGACATAATAAAGATCACTATTTTGACGAACACTTTCATGACATGGTCCATAACATAAATTCTGCTGATGAATATTGCAATGAAAATTTTGCATTTAAGTATTACCGACTTAGGAGGCCTCATTTTCCATCAATTTTACTAAATCTTCGTGTTTCCCAACCATTGCTGGAGCTTCATCGGTTGTTAAACCCGATAAGTTTTTAAGTTGTCACAAAAAGCAATTCAATGTCGATGTAACTGCCTCTAACAAATCTCATGACTTAGTAGTGTCCTTAATTAAGTGAATACAGTGCCGCTAAATCTTCTGTCTTTTTAAAATGGACATCAACACACCTGATAGAAATTGCCAGCTGGGCAGTATCTGCCATATCTGTGCTTTCATCCAATGCTAGAGCATAAAATATAAACTTGGATGTTTGACTTTTCAAATTATCTTCAATATGTTTTCCAATGTCATCCACACACCTCGTAATAGTCTGACGAGACAGACTTATTTTTGTGAAATCTTTCTGATCTGGACACATAATTTCAAAGACGCTCTCAAAACAATAATTAATCATTTCACCATGGCTACGGGATGCAAGATATTTCAAATTTCTCTTACCTATAATTTACAAATATTTGACACGAATGAGTCATGATGTAATGTTATTTGGTGATATGTACAATAACGTAACAATTATGTTCATTTTACCTAGCTCCACAGGCCGCAACATATTGGCCACCCCTGCCCTAGTATAGATTATTACAACAAAACTTAAATATTTTGCTAACTTCAAATTTTTCAAAATATAATATTTACGTAAAATAGATGCATTTATATATGGTAATGCTATACACCATGAGAGGTAGGTCTTGAGAAATTATTTTTTAGCTTATGCATAATAGGTAGTTATTACAGATTATCTTGAATGGTTTTTGTCTGTTTATTAGTGATATAAATTTTTTTTAAATTGAAAAGTTAAGGATATACACATACAAGGAGAAAGTCTGATGACGAACAACTAGTTCAGCTTCTAGCAGCAGAGGACTGGGAAGGAATTAAAATATTTAATATGATGAATACATAGCAAAGTGGAAATTATTCACAATTTTTAGTTTTCATATGTGTTTGTGAGTTTTTGCAGAATTTAAACAAACATTTTGTGGAACACTTACTTGTAGGAGTTAAGGGTCAACATGGGACATATTAAATTTATTTTTACTAAAAGAGAAATTTGAAATAGTGTTCCAGATGTAAAAATTAAGTGTATTTTTCTTCATATCAAAAATATATTTTAGGTTATTGTTCTGTGGACAGCCAATACAGAGCGTTTTGCAGAGGTTAGAGAAGGATTAAATGACACGGCAGACAATCTTTTAAACAGCATAAGTCGAGGAGAGTCAGAGATATCCCCATCTACATTATTCGCTGTAGCTTCTATACTTGAAGGAATCACATACATCAATGGGTCTCCTCAGAACACCTTTGTTCCAGGTAAACAATGCCCTTTTGTTAATTGTCCCCTTTAAAAAAAAAATATGATGTTGATAAATAAACATTGATGGCTCAAAACCTTGTAAACAAGCATTTAAAAGATTTTAAACTCTGTAGTAGTTAAGTTGTTGTGTGTAGCAATGACGATTATTTTTATTTTTCAATTACTTAGAATGGTCCTGTAGTCATATTAGAAAATTTTGTGTTTGATATAGTGATAAAGATTAATTTGCAAAAGTTATTTCTTGATCTATTAAAGGTGTTATCGAACTTGCTGAAAAGAGACGTGTGTATATTGGTGGAGATGATTTCAAATCAGGTCAAACGAAAATGAAGTCAGTTTTAGTAGATTTTCTTGTCAGTGCTGGTATAAAACCAGTTTCAATTGTCAGTTTCAATCACCTTGGAAACAATGATGGTGCAAATCTATCAGCCCCAGAAACTTTTAGATCAAAGGAGGTAATTGTTTCAAACTACTTTTAAAAAATTATTTGAAATTGCACTGAAACAACATTGTCAACAGCTATGTGTACTCCAATTTTACATGTTTTTAAAATTGATTATGGGAGTCACCCATATACGACATACATACTGGGGTCAGATAAGGAGTTTTTATAAATAGGTATATATGATGGAACAGTAAATGCACTTTAGCAGTCAGATTATATAATCATGTTGTCATAAAACATAAGAATTCTAAGTATAGTGCCTTTTTTATATATATTTTTTAATATAAATTAAGTCAATATCTAGAGGAGCTGAATTACATTATCAATAACTATAACCATTATTATAAAAAATGTTTGATACTTCTAAAAACTGTGACAGCTAGAATGGTTTAATTAGTGCATGTTAGTTCTTAAACTTTTTTTTGTCATTTGGTTTCATAAATTAACAAAAATTCTAACAAGCATTAGTAAAAATTATATCACCTGAACATTATTATTTTGACAGCTCTAAGCACCATCAATAGTTTTAAAAGGCCAATTAAGTTGAGTTGTACTCATAGAGTACATGTTACAACTGTGGTGGAATTTCATAAAGATCTTAATTTGAAGCAATGTATTTTAAAGGGCTAAGTCTCAGATAAGCCCGCATATTAACCATGCTTTCATTGTTTCAGATATCCAAGACTAATGTTGTTGATGACATGGTCAAGTCAAATTCCATTCTCTATAAGCCTGGGGAGAAACCAGATCATTGTGTTGTTATCAAATATGTTCCTTATGTCGCTGATAGTAAACGAGCTATGGATGAGTATATTTCTGAAATAATGATGGGAGGTCGTAACACAATTGCAATTCACAATACTTGTGAGGATTCTCTGCTTGCCTCCCCTCTTATTCTTGATTTAGCAATCATTGCAGAGCTCTGTGAACGCATTCAATTGCGCCGTGAGGATGAACCAGAGTTCCACAGATTCAATGCTGCTCTTTCTATTCTTAGCATTCTTTGCAAAGCCCCCCTGGCACCTAGAGGGACCCCGGTTGTTAATGCATTCTTTAAACAAAGATCATGTCTTGAAAATATATTCCGTGCTTGTATTGGTCTGCCACCCATTAACAATATGTGGTTAGAGTATAAGCAGGAGGTCATTCCCTCAGAACTTCAATATACAGTGTCAGCTGTACCAGAAAGTTTGAACGATGGAAATGTTAATGTAGCAAAGAAACCCAAGAATGAACTGAATGGAAGTATCAATGGAAAATGCAGTATGAATGGACACTTGAATGGTTTTCATGAGATCAGTGGTATGGATGTAAATGGAGAAAGGTAATTTTCATTGTTTCTATCTGGCATTGTTTAGATAGCTAAGTAATATTTTAAAATAGTTTAATCTCTATATACCAGTAATGTGGCTGTCTATTAAATGACAGTGAAAACTCACATCTCCAAGCCATACAATTAATATGTAGTAAACAATTGTCCATTGTTGTTATTGCTGCAAAAGCTAATATTAAGTAATTAATTATTTTTTAATTGCACATGGTAGTGCAGGGCAACTTTTGTGTGTATTCTATTGTAATAGTATTTTGTAAACATTCTTTTTAACAGTTATTTCTGTTTTGTACAAATGCATTATTACTTTATTTAATGAAAATAAATTCCCAAATATAGTTTTCTCCCTATTAAAATGTTAATGCTTCACACCAGTCTTGCATTAGAAAGCAAAATAGTGCATGTTTTTTTAATGTCTTATCATTTCAATAAATGCAGGATTAAGTATAGGAATATCTTTTTTTTAAATGTTATTCCATTAACAATATTCATGTAATGTGCTAATGCGTCATACAAATATTGTTTCGATTAAAAGCAACACTTGAACATTGAAATTGAATGGTTAAATTAATTAAACAATAGTACCCTGCAGCACTAAATTAACAATAATTCAATATTTATATATATAATACTCTAAATAGAAATTACTTAAGCTCAGGTATTTATATACATCCTTTTTTAAAACCGCCATTAGAGTTAGAGTGCTTTTGTTTTTATTTCTAAATTGGCATTTTATACAAGTGTAATAAGAATAAAGATCTGCATTCTCTGCCAATCTGTCATAGGCTTTATATTTATTTTACTGACATCTTTTGTCAGCATCAAATTATCATTTAATATTTTTTATTACAATTTATAAAAACATAGCCAGGTTAAAATGAACAAAAATATTTTTATCTTCATTTGAATGGTATCTGCAAAGAGTTTTGGAGGCATTTCATAGGTTAGCATTTTATCAAGATCTAACTGAAACAATCACCTGTGTTTGCACAAACATATGTTAGATATTACTTCATGGTGAAAAAAACTTAGTAATAACTTATGCATTTCTATTGAAACAAAATTTATAATATGTATATCTCCACAGAAGCACTATTTACATTTTTATTCTTAGTTTTTTCATGTGAAAATTTTTTTAAAGGCTTGGAAGACTTTTATTTATTGGAATATATGTACCAAATTCTGTGTTTAAAAGAAATGTGTTTGTGTGTTTTGAGAAAAAAATTCATGTCATAAAATTAAATGTAATCTAATGTCTTGTCCAAGATAATTTGTTTGCTTTTAATTTCATTGCTTAGTTTTCATACTCACTAAAAAAAATTTTTAAATCAATTATTAAGCACTGTGTTATTTATGGCTTCCAGGAACTACCTCTATAGTTTATCTGTTGTTTAATGAAATCTCTCATTGATATGTTTGCTCAATGCCATGAAACTTTATTCCATCATACTTGCATTGAATCATTTAAAACCAAAGTAGTTACACTTGTTCAAAAAGTTTCAAAAAAGACAATCATTTCTTGCATTATTTTATTAGTAACAGCAGATTCAAATCACCTTATGTCTATTAATTAAAAAAGAAAAATTTATTTTAAATAATTCCCTGTCACTTAATTTTTTTTTTCATAGTTCTTGAAATCTTTGGTACAGTGTATGTCTATTTAAATCCAAGGACATTATCCAAATATTCTGCAAATTTATGTGGTTCTCCAGGCGGAAAAGGCCTTAGTGAAGTAAAGTCCAATGATTCTAAAGATTTTACTAATTTGGAAACATTACAGTACTGCAGATAGCCTTCGCAAGCCAGTTTCTCTGCTAGCTCTGTTTGATGGTTGCCCATAAGTTCTTCATTTATCACAACTAACACTGGTTTCCCAGCACCCAATGAATCCATGATACTGCCAGCACCTGCATGGCAAATAATAAGATTAGCTTCAGCAATCTCCTCCGCTATAGAATCTTTAAGACGAAAATATTTTACTCTTGGGTATCCTTTATCACATATTATCTCTTCTGGTTCGTAATCTCCTCTTCCTATCTGTAAATTTACATCAGAAAAGCCTTGCTTCGATAAAGTTGCAAGTGCTGAGCTAGATGTAATCTGTGAATAAATGAATATTGGAAAACACCTGAATTCAAAGTGATTAATTTAAATTGTAACTATAAGAAGAAAAATTCTGTTATAAACTAAAGTAAACACCACAACGCCAGGATCATGATAAAGTAAATGTAGGACAGGAGGCCTAAGGTTAATTGTAAATCAATTTACTTATTGAGTTTACCTAAACCAAAGCAAATACAACAATATATTATGTTATACAGAATTTATATCTAGTATCTAGCTTTTGTATAGGTTAGGTTGCAGTCCACTTAGTCTAAGTGCTTTGCATTACATTAAAATAAATAATAAAATACCAGTAGTAGTAAGTAGTAGTAGTAGTAGGCCTTGCTTCTCTATACTTTGTCATTCAATAGCCTATAAACTATTATTAATTAGGCCTAGGCTAGGCCTGTCTAGTAACCAGTAACAACTTGTCAGTCGGGAGTCGACCATGACCACTTCAATCATCAGATTTGCGCTAGTTCTGTCTGTGGGTGCGCAGATGGCTGATGAGGCCAATTCCGGCATGAAATTTTCTTGTGCAGCAGGTGCAGGGGAATAATGGGGCATCTCCGGGAGCAGAGTCAGACTGGGGATTCCTGGCATGTCTCTTGTGCTCTGCAGCCGCTTTTCTGCCAACTGCATGTTGCATGGAGCTCCTGTGTAAAGTGGAACGCCAAGATGTTCGATCGTTTGCTTTTTCCTCCCATGTTTATGTCGCACGCTTTCGGTGAGGCTTTAAGGTTGTCTTTAAAACTTTTCTTCTGCCCGCCAGCATACCGCTTTCCTTGTTCGAGCTCATAGAAAATTCTTTTGGGCAGACGGTCGTCTGACATTCTCACAACCTGTACCGCTCAGCCCTTAATTAAGATGGTAAAGATGCTGGGGAGACCTGCCTGTATGAACACCTCAGGGTCTGGGACCCTGTCCTGCCATTTAATGTTGAGGATTTTTCGGAGTCTTGTTGTATGAAAGTGGTTCAGCATTCTTGCATGGCGTTGGTGTGCCGTCCACGTTTCATAGGGATAGAGAAGCATAGGGAGAAATGCCGCCTGATATGCTCTCAGTTTTAGTTTGAGTGCTGATACATCTCCTGGTCCTTACATTCTAGGTCAATTTTCCATAGGTTGCACTGGCTCTCGCAATATGGAGGTTAACCTCATCATCGATGGTTGTGCTTTGGGACAGTGTGGTGCCGAAATAAGAAAAGCTATTCACCACCTAAGTCTTTTGCTATTTACTTAGATGTTGGGCTCAACATAAGGTCTTCGAGGTAGTAATCAAAGTAAAACTACAGTAAGCCTAGTGGTAGTAGTAGTAGTGGCCTACAGTGACATAGGAACGGGGGTGCAGAGGCGTCACTTTTTTCCATTAATTTTAAGAGAGGGGTGACATTTTTGGCTAATGACAGAGTTTTTTCATGGAAAGAGGACAGCACAAAGCTTCACCCGCCTGGGCAGCACTAACCCTTGCTACACCACTGAATATTTATAATATTTTATTTAGTTAGCAAATAGGCCATTATTTTTAATCACTGGCCAACACAAACTTTGGTACCTTAAATGTTAGACTTGATTTTAGGGATATGAGACCTGCTGATTCCAAAAATAGCACCAGTTTTCCCGTCACCTCTAGTTTTTGAGACTTTGAGTGTACACGTATGCCATTATTTAGCATTATAAATTATATATTATTTAAAGAAAAGTGTTTATATAAAAAAGTTCATATTTTATACCAGACAAAATAGATTTACTGAAGACTTTGTATTATTCTACACAAATAAAGCTTATTTCATTAGACTTCCTAAAGGTAGGATTCTTCCAGGACAATCCTGAATAAGATCCAAACAAAAATCTCCATCATGTGTGATTTTCAACTAATGTGATATCTGGCTGCCGTTGCATGCATTTGTCATGGTGAAATCTTTCACTCCACTCTTTGCTTAATGTTATCTGGACACTGATCTAACTGACATTGATTGCAATTTTTTTTTTCACAAGAAATGAAAAGGCCAGAAAGATGACTCAATTTCATTTGTTTATTTTATGAAAAGTAGGTCTTTTGATTTTTATGCATTTTCCGATCAGTGGACCATCCAAATTCCAGCTTTCAATTTCTCAGTGATTAAATGTGCTTCGAATGTTTTAATTCAAAGCATTAAAAACTGTATCATAAGGCTGACCTAGATTTATAAATATTTGTTGTAGACCGATCCTATTTTGTATTACTAAAGCTTCATTTATTACATTTATCCTCAGACCACCATATTTTCCTCGAAGTACAATTATTTTTTGCCAAATTTTCATTATTTGCTCTAATATCCCAAAAGCCATGAAAAGCAAGGATACCAGGGAAGCCACTCTGTAGACAAGGGCTAAAAATCATTTTCAGGTCTACACAAAGATGTTTTTTTATAGTAAGCTAATTTATTTTTTCAAAAACTAAACAGAGGGCCTTATATTCTTCTTTCATCTTGGTAGATTAACAGATTGGAATATAATTATAATATATATTAGTTGCCATTTATTAAAAGAAGAAATTTCAAACTATGTTTTGATTGACAAAAAGACGCCACTCACCCGTGTTTCATAAAGTTTCTGATGTCAATGCACAAACAATAAAAACATTTTTTTAAATGGCAGCTTTTCCTTCTATCCCATTTGATGAAAGGCTGCGGCTATTCGGACCCGGTATCAGAAGTGAGAGGTTGGGTTTATTAAAAAAAATTAAAATATTATTGTAGGGTTTGTACCACAAAATTGGGTATCAAATGAAAGATAATTGAATGGACTATATGTTAATAAACTTAATTTTTCAATTTAACTAAAATGAATTACCACAAAAGACATCCGAATAGCATTTAGTCTAAAGGGACCCGGGTCCGAATACTGGCGATGCGTGTCTGGATCCATTTTAAAAATGATATCCGCAGATTCAGCAAAATTGACCTGATATATTATATTTATAGTTTATAGACTATATTGACTATATACATGATATATTAAATAATAGATTGAAAACTAAATATTTTATAATTTATAGTATAGATTCAAGGATATCTTGCATTGAAAGTCTTGTGAAAACTACAAGAGCTGTTTGTGTCATACTGTTAACATTTTGTTTTAAGAGACGGATAAATAAATATGACGCCAAGGTGATTTTCAGAGGCAGTGGCTCACCCTCAAGTCAAATAACATTAGGTAGGAATAATAAAGAATAAAAAACTCAAGGCCATCAAGAAAAAAATAACTTTAATTGTCATTATCGGCCTCTGTAGTGTGTACCGGTATACAAAAAAATAGGACTGCCCACTAATGAGTGACTAATGACATAATTTAAAAAAATAATATCATTATTATACTATTATTAATTTATTATAAATTAATAATATTATAATAATTAATTAATTATTAATTAATTTTTCCTGTCGTACACTATTTACCTCTCGAATAAGAGAATCAAACTTTGTTGTACCAACAGTTACAAAGAGGCGTTTCCTTTGTTCCATTTGAACCTCTAAAATGTAGTTTATTAATTACCCGGTACTGTACATAGTAATTACCAAATAAACGTAAGTCTAAGTTATAAACACATCGTAGCAGGCACCATTTGTTATTTTAAGAGAAAAAAAATAATTGTTTCATGCTTCGGATCATCCCCGTTCCACAATTTTGATGACACGTGGAGGAAATATCAATTAGCTTTCGCTATTTAAATAAATATTTATACTTCGTTAAGGAGAAAATGGATGCAATAAAAATATTTTATTAATCAAATATATTTTTAAAAGTCACGTTAATCATATCGAATCATTTGGAAATGGATTTGCTTGAAATATGTTTATATTCCTTTTTTAAACAAAATTTCAATATAAATCTTCAAATTATCTATTTACCAAGATATTATAACAATAAATATGAGAGTTGAGAGTAAAATAATGGAAAAAATATGTCGGAGGAACTAATTGAGCAGCACAGAAACAAAAAGGATGGGAAAAAACATTGGCTTTGATTTTGATAACACTGAAGTAAATATGGTGTCTAAAACATCATTTTAATACTCACTGAGTCATCCAACTTTCCCAATTAATTATTATACGGTACATATTATATTATATCTGTGTGTTGGATGACTCATTGAGTGGAATATCCTATTCAATATCAGGCACAGAAACATAGCGAATCCCATCTACATAAATAGGAACCAGAATAATCAATACATTGATCGTGGGCCCTCAATATATGTCCTTACATCCCCACAAGACAACTACGTTCTTCCATTGACAGTAGAACCCTCTCAATCCCAAGGACCAAAACTAAGACCATCGGTGAACGCTCCTTCTGCTTCCATGGGCCCACGTTCTGGAACCAGCTCCCCTTCCATATCCGTCATTGTGAAACCTCGTCCATTTTCAAAAAGTCCCTTAAAACTCATCTGTTTAGGTCCGCCTATGACCTGTGATGCACCCTCCTTGCCCTGCCTCATTTTCTGTTTCGGGTTGATCCTGAAGTATTGGCCAAAACGTGTCAAAGTGTCCTCGTTTTATAGACATTTTCATTGTTTCTATAGTATAGTAGTTACTATCCTAGTGTCTCTTTTATTTTACTTAGTTTACATGTTTTTCATAATTGTAAAGCGCTTAGAGCTTTATGGTAAGCGTTAATTTCTAATATATTGATCGTAGCTGATTATGTCTCAAAGCTCAAGATACTTTCGAATTTTTTTTCTGCTGTCTTCTTTGCCTTCTCAGCCCCCAGTGGAGCATAGACCACAGACAATATCCTTTAACGCATTGCTTTACTATATTATGTTATTATTTACAACTCTCTCTCTCTCTGATATTAAATACATATTTTATACCTCTCTACAACTGGTGTCTTCCCCGTCCCCTAGATCCTAGGGGGGGGGGGGGGGGGGGTCCAACACCAGACACGATTATATATGGGCATCTGTTTTCTTTTTAACGTATTGCTTTTCTATATTATTTTATTATTTACAACTCTCTCTCTCTCTGATATTAAATACATATTTTATACCTCTCTACAACTGGTGTCTTCCCCGTCCCCTAGATCCTAGGGGGGGGGGGGAGGGGGGGTCCAACACCAGACACGATTATATATTGGCATCTGTTTTCTTATCGTATGAACCAGTGGCGTATGAAAGTGATAGAGGTGACTAATTTTTCTTAAGATTATTGGCAGAATGTTCAGTCAACTGAAAGGTTTTTGTGAAAGGGGCGGTAAAGGTCTTTGCCCGGCCTGGATGATACTAAGCCTAGCTACGCCACTTGTATGACATCTCCATTTCCAATGTCTTTTCCGAATTTCTTGCTCCACTGGGATTTGTGCTGTCATGACCATTATTGTTATATTTGAGATTTTGTGAAACTACTTGATGTTTAGGATTGTACGCAGGCAACTACTAACGAAGGTTTGAAGTCTTTTCTAATCCTCGTTTCTTTCACTTAGGTGCCCCCATTGTATCGTGGTTTCTGAGGCAGATGTAGAGTGGTCAAAACAAAGTGATTTATGTGAACAGCAGCTATCATGTCACGTGACTTCTATAATTATTTATTATTATTATTTTAAGTTATCTCTGATGAATTACATTTCATTCTTATTTGTCATCTTTCGTCATCGTCCCTATTACACTGGTTCCAGGGCTTTTCGTGGATCCACTTCAATTTGTATACCTTTTAGGCCCCTGGTCTCACCACGAGCCCTTTTGCGATCAATCATCTTAGTTGTATCTGGTCCTAAATTTCAATAAAATTGATTAAAATTGAGTTACGACTCAAAAGAGGCTAGAAACCTATTCTATACTATATACCTGAAGGAATTAGAAAAGCCTCAACAACGAACAAATAACTTCATCTCGGAAATTAATAGTAATAATAGCCCTCGTTGGGAAATGGTTAGCCAAGGGAAACAACCTATAAATTCGTGCTAAATAGTGTAATAATACCGGTATAAATGGTTGATTTCCAAGTTTAGATTTGTTTTGATGAAGTGTTCATAAAAAAGATCTTGCAAAAAATGGGCTCTAAAAGCAAAATTATTTGCAGATTTTTAGAATTTTTAATGCACAAATATCCAATCATAAATGCATTAACGTTGTTGATGTTGTTAGCCGAGAGAGCTGCCGTGGAAAGGTGTTCATTTTGTGTGTAGTAATAATTAGTTCATATGATTTTGATATATGTCATGTTGTCTTCTGTAATGTACAGTACAGTCTACTATAAGCCTACTCCTTGCCTTTTTCTGTTTATTAGTGTTAATACATTATTCATTCATTGCCATAGCCTTGCCCTTCATCATGCCTTATGGCTATTTTACTAATTTGTTTAATGGGCCTATTTTAATATTTTATTTATAATTTGCACTTCGGGTGCTAGGCTTAGGGCAGTTAGAGTTAGGACTAGGAGGGTAATTCAACTAAAATATACTTAATAAGTAATTAGGCTTAGGCATACTCTATATTTTTAACTGTGTTGCAAAGTCAAATATTTCATTTATAATTTTATTTAATTGGGGTTGGACACCTATTGAATTGATTTAATTGAATATCCAAGTCTAACTGAACAATATCCAAGGCTGTTTTTTGTTTTGTTTTTTTTAACCTCATTGTAACTCATTGTTTTAAAATAAATTTGGTTTGCAATCAATGAAATTAATGAAAAAGAAATTAAAATAGAAACATCAAATATTCAACTAGCCTACAATTATTTTAAATCCTGCCTTATTTAAACTTGGCATATAGTTAATTATTAACTATCCTCATACTCATATCATACATATTCATGAAAGGAAATGAGTGAAACAAAGTATGGGAAGACCTGAAAAAATTATCGCAACAAAACAACAAATGTGGTGGCAGGAAGCATTTCAATTAGCAACAAACAACATTAAAACAGAACTAAATAAAAATAGCCGTTAGCTGAAAAGTAGTATCACCTGGGCTGGGAACACCCAAAAATTGGCTACGGTTACTTCGTTGTCAAAAATAGAGACTTATAGACCTGTTTTAATTTATAGAGGGTATCTTTGTTTGACCTTTTATTGTTGATAATTGGTGTAAAAGTACATTCTACATCTGTCCATTATTTAAAGATGAGGTCTTGATTGTTCAGATGAGAATTCTATGAATTTTTTTTCCTAGGCTTAAGCTTTAAAAGTTGAAGTTAAAAATAGGTAAAATTTACTGAGCAATAACTTAAGAAAAAAAAAAAATCTGCTCAATGATAAAAAATTATTAAAGTTATTATGTCACCTGTAACTGTAACAATCCAAAATTCATGCGTAGTCCATATGTAAAGTGGTCAAAAAAAAAAAAAAAATAAAAAAAGGTAAAATTTAATGAGAAATAAGTTAAAAAAAAAAAAAATCTGCTCAATAAAAAAAAATTATTAAAGTTATTATGTCACCGGTAACTGTAACAATCCAAAATTCATGCGTAGTCCATATGTAAAGTGGTCAAAAAAAAAAAAAAAAGGTCACTATTTTAGGATTTGTAATTTGTCATCACGTCGCACATGCATGTCAGAATATTACCTATTATCGATAGCAGCGGCGGGGTAGTTAATAAGTCGTTAAATTGGATATCCAGAACATAAATGAGAAAGATAACATACATAATTATTATTGGCTAGTCAAATATCAGTGATTTTAATTTTGGGATTGGTTGCCATGGGCATGGGATGGATTAACAGTTGTCTTTGACATAGATAGGCCTATTAAAAGTACCGGAATTATAATATTTTTTATTATAAGGGTGCGGGGTGGTCTAAACTGAGCCAATCTAAAGCTCATGGTCCGGAGTTCAATCCCCACCAAAGCCCAGTCAAGCAAAATTAATATCAGCACCCCGGGTGGATGGGACTCATTAACCTTGGATGGCTACTCATCTAATAGAAGGAAACTGAATTCAAACCCAGAGATGTATTCCCGTAGGCGGATAACATAGGCACAATGACACATTCCGACAACTCCTGCGACGTCACTGATGCCAAGCTATATCATGCACATGATGTTCCTTTGGGTTATCCAGTGGTGTGGTGAGAAGGGATTTGCTGTGTAGGGAACCAGCTTATAATCCTCAAAAGAATAATCCGAGGCCTTATGGATTTTGTCCTGCGAAGTCTGCACCATCGTCATAACAGACGGATGCAAGCAAAAAAAAAATAAATTTTCACTTAAAATAGTAGGCCTAACATAAATGACATATATATTAAGCTGATGTCGGTATGTTGTTTTTAATAAATATAATTTTTTTTAAACAATTTACATTTTGATATTGAAATAATTAAATATAAAATCAAAGTCACCACAATTAAATATTTCACAAAATATTAAGCAATTAGACTACTACTAACTAAGTCTAAAACATTGATCTCCAAAGGTAGGCTATACTTGAAGAAAATCACTAATACTAACACAACACATTAATCCTAAGAATTCCACAACTTATTTTAATATATTCTTTAAGTGAATTATAATTACTGGCTCATCTTTCAAATGAATATCAACAACTTAAGTCTAAAATTTAGATCTTGTCCTCATACCCTACTTTTAAGTTAAATTTAATGGCTCAAATGAATACAAACAATATAAAAATTGTGCTTGAACCCAATGAACCAAAAATAAAGATAAATGTAGGCAGCTTTAAATTTCACATTT